TATACAGGGTTATTCACAAAAGTGTGAAGAGTTTGGAGAAGGCAGGAGAAGTGAACAATCTAGGACAACATAGCTGCTCTGGAAATATTCTCCAATTCAGCTCACTTTCCGGTTCAGCTATGTTGTCCTAGATTGTTCACTTCTCCTGCCTTCTCCAAACTCTTCACCCTTTTGTGAATAACACTTTTAGAAAATTAGCCATATGGGTCTTTTAAGAGATAGTGAATCTATGCTATCTCTGAGCAAGCCCCATATACTACTACTGCTGTGCAAAATGCCAAATATTTACTCACTTATAGTATACTTTACTTTAAGTTTACTTAAATGGATAAGTATATAGGATAAAGATAAGGATAAGATAAAGTATAAGTTTACTTTAATAGACATATGATACCATCATGACACTCAGGTCTGCTCAGGGCCGGCCTTAGGCCTTTAGGCGCCCTGTGCGAGAAAGCTTTACAGCGCCCCTCAGTGACCACACCCCCAGTAACCACACCCATTTTCCCCAATATCCGCACCATTTAAAGACTCCTATTTTGTTAAGCCACAAACAAAAATATATTAAAAAGTATGATAAAAATAAAACTTTTATTCAAAGGTATTAAACTTGTAGGCACAATATAAGTATTCTTATCAAATAAAACAACAGGCAAACAATAAATGTCAAACTGAAATAGAGTCTATAAAAATAAAGTGTCAGGTTGTCATGCCGATCCCTTTTTTCAAGTAAGTATATCTAGAAAAGTACAAATAAAAAAACGGAACACAAAACCCAGACTACGTGTAAATTAATGAATTACTATTTGCCCAAATATACGAAAAATTTATTCAGGCGCATAGTAATTTGTTTGAGAATGTGCGGCGGCCATGTTGGCCACCGGCGTGTTCTCTGAGTGCGTGCCACCATCTTGGAGGCAGGGAGCATGACGTTACATGACGCCATGCATGCGTGGCGTCAGGTGACGTCACACGCCGATATAGGCGCTGCCATCTTGGTGTATACCTAGATATACACCAAGATGGCAGCGCCCAACAGGTGCAGTGTTGCATATGATGTCATGAGCTCTGCCTCCAGAACACGCCAATGGCTGAATCCAAAATAGCATAAAAATGTGTTTTGTTTGATGAAACGTTTTTGGTTTTCGTTAATTTTTAGTCTTCGCACATGTCTAATAATATGTGTAGGGGGGGCATTTTTCACTTTTTTAAAATAATTTGTACATTATTATTTTTTAAATTATTATTTTTTTGTTACTGTTGGGGAGCTTCGGGGAAATATTAGGAGTCCAAACAGACCTCTGACATTCCCCTTTTAAAATAGAAAAGAAATTGAGGATGCCAAATCCTCAATTTCTTTTTCTGCAGCCTCAGCACTCAATGAATGGGAAGCACTCAGTACAGAGGCTCCTCCCCATTCATTCAGAAAATATTTACTATCAGCCGTTTCTGAATGGGGAGGAGCCTCTGTAGCGAGTGCCTCAATTGGGAGAAGCATGTTCATTCATAACTGGGGACGCATAGTATTATGTGTCCCCAGTTATTTACAAACACCGGAGTGATCAGACGATCGCTCCAGTGTTTGTCCTTCTCACACGGAGGATCGGTAATTATCATTGATATATACAGATCCCCCGCTCTGCCGCGCACAGAGCCGCTGTCATCCTGAAACTGACAGGATGACAGCGGCTCCGATCTCCTCCCCGCTCGGCCATCCTGACAGCTGTGGGCGCGGCTTCTCTCCCCCTCACTGCTCCGCCATCCTGACAGCAGGCAGCGCTCACTCCTGC